TTATCATTGTTGTTGGTGTCACGAGAGTTTCTCCGGTAGCTGAGAAGGGAGGTCAGGGGCCAAGTACAGTCTCCATCCTAGTTGACTAAGAAGGGCCCTAAATTCACTTTCATGAATCAAAGCTGGACCTTAGCAAAGTTGTAAATGATTATTTCTTAAGGACAGTCCAAGTTCGAGAAAATTGGCATAAGTCTGAAATTGTGTTTTCATACGCTTTGTTGCCTACCATCTTTCTAGTGGCCAGGCGAGGCCTACACAGAGTGGACAATGAATACTGTGGAAGGAAGGGAGAGAGGGGGAAAGGCGAGAGGAAGACCGAGAGGGACTGGAGTGTAAGCTAATCCCCGCGAAGACAGAGGTTTCCTAAGAAGAGGGAGCCCCGTGGGTACCCGAAGGAGGCACAGGGGGTTGCAGAGGAAGGGGTACAAGGTGTGAAGGCTTCCGGGGGACCCAGTAAAACAAAGGCCAAAAGACACTCCCCGTAAACGGTTCTGAGAAAGTCCACCCTCATCCATCTTAGAAGAATTTCTGGACTCAGCAGTCGTTCTAATGGCTTGGAAAATCCACTCTAGATTAAAGGCAAATCTTACCGATAGCACAGGTACTGGGTGTTTCCTCCAAGGCAGCCAGGTGCCATTTCAGCCATTCTGGTTCATTGGCTTGGGAAAGGTAGAGGCGAAGAGAACCGAGAGCAAATTTGCTTCGGGCAGTGGAGAGGCTAAGGGGGGTCACAGGGAGCTCCAGCCACCCCTGCTACACAGAGTCCCTTACCCTTCCTCCAAAGCCACCACGGACAAGCAAGAGTAAAACCCCTTTGTCCTCATTAAGAGACACTTTCTGATCTTAAGAAAATATGACAAAAACCAACCTTGCAAAACAGCTGATGATATCGATCTGTAATGCAACCAAAATCCTCTGTCGCTTCCAAGCAAATTTGGATTTAAAACAAACCCCAGTGTCTCCACCAGGTCTTTCTCCCTAGGCAGCTCTCGCAGGGAATTTGGAGCAGACCGGGGCTTGACAGGGAGCCATTCGTTCCTGGAACCAACACCCATTCAAAGGCAGTCACATCCGGGGAACCCACCACCGCCTTCACTGTGACGTGGGGAGCCAGCAGGGCTACAGGCCGGGGACAGTAGAAGCCCGCTCTGTCCTAGTTCAGATCACCTCTGCTGGGAGGGGAACTAGAGATGGGAAGGTAAAAAAAATAAAGATGTGCTATGTACATGTGCCAACTCCCCCTGATGAATGCATTATGTACAGCAAGCAGAGAGAGAGAGAGAGAGAGAGAGAGAGAGAGAGAGAGAGAGACCTCTTTCTGCCTTGTTACTCCACCATGTAGCGTCTGTTCCCATCCTCATTTCATGACCCAAAATTATTGCTGGAGCACCAGCTATCATATCAAAATTCCGAGCATCAGGAAGGAAGGAGGAGGAGGCAAGGAAGCACCCATCACCTCCTTTTAAATACATTTCCCAGATATTGTCATTTCCTCTTACAACTAATTGAACAAGAACTTAGGTTCATGGCCCCACTTAGGAGCAAAGGAACATGGAAACTTTTGCTTTATTTGGGGCTTTCTTATGACACCTCACAACTGAAGATCAATTACAGGGAATGGGGGGAGCACTGGGGATAATTGGCACTTCCACCACTCTTCGATATGGTTAGTGCCAGATTTTAATTTGTCTTTCCCTGCTTCTGAAGTGCTAAGAAAAATAATGAGATATATAAAGTTTTCTGAAACCATGAAACCAAACTCATTTACCTTTATAATTTTCTATTAATCTACTACCAGAATTCATTTTGCATTTAATTCTAGTCTCTAACACTTTAATGCCCTCTCTTTAGTCTTTACACATTAGTGGTCTCAGTCATGTCAGACTTTTTCATCTCCTTTATGTTCATTTATTTTAACTTTCAGTGGTCTTCTAGCCAATCCTTTATCCTTTTTATTACAAGAGCATGAAATTTTATAATCCCCTAGAGCTTTGTTAGTCAGCTGCTACAAGGTTCTTAACCTTCGCTAATTTATTCCCTCATTTTTGACTCCCACATCGGAGGCATGCCTTCATATTTTGTTTTTGAATATGAAAGCAACTTTTATTAAGTGGGTTTATTGCATTAATAGATTTTTATTTCAGTTTTTACAGTTATATTTAAGTTCCTGCTAGTTATGCTGCAGATCATTTTAATAACAATTTATAATGCAATGTAATATAATTTATACTTTAATATAATAAAAATGCACACAGCATAATAAAGCATGAGCAATTTTAGAAAACTTTACCTGGAAATCATTTCAAAACATGTATCTTTTTGAACTCCCAAACAAACCATTTTATTGCTGTTTATTATAATAGAAACTCCCTAAACAATAATCGCTTCTCTCTTTAAGGGGAAAGAGGAAGGCTGTGTCTCTTAAAATAGCACACGTGCTTTGATTTTTTGTTTACCTCATCCCTTCCTCCTCACTGCTTTGATTTCTCAAAGGCAGAAAGGGAATTGTATTTCCTTCCTCACACAGTTACACAAATGATCAATACCCGGCTGTGAAAATCCTTAACTCAGGTCACACTGGCAAGAACAATCATGTCGGCATTAACCAAGATATATATATGTGACAATAAAATAATGCTAATAATTATAAAGCACTCTGTCCTCCTCCATTGAAAATGTGGCAAGGAAATACAGAAAGACTGATCAAAATGCAAATGTGAGGCATATATTTGCACACCAGGGAAAAGGAAAACTGAAGCATGAACTTGAAGGCTTGAAATCCTCAAGGTTTAAAACTGAGACCAATATCAAGAAAAATATGTGACGCCAGGGGATTGGACTCCAACAGTATCTCTCTTCTCTCTCAAGAACTATCTACTTGTCTCAGCTGGCATTTTGGCCTCACAAACCTCCTTTGAAACTCGGTAGTTTGAAATACGATCCTTTATCTAGTTCCTGAGTCTGTAACCAGCATGGGGCTGGGACCTGCTGGTCCGGGCAGGTTCCTTGGTCTCAGCTGAGAAGCAACAGGGCATCTGGGGTTGGTTATGGGGTAGCAGGAGGCTGCTGGGCTGTGGGCTGCAGGCCCCCTGAACTCTTCCACATTGCCTCTCATGTTCCAGCTGTGAGTTCAGGCTCAGCCTGTGATGGCCAAGTCCCAGGGGCTGCAAGAGAACACCTTGCGCACGAGAGCTTTTCAGAAGGCACCTGCTTCTGCTGTTGGCTCATGGCCCATTGTCCAAGGCAGGCGACATTCCCAAATCAGACGCACACAGTGGGGAAACGGACACCACCTCTCCATGGGAAGATTAAACAAGTGTGGGCATTTCGTCCTGTACCACATCATACCAAGATACTCGTGATATTTGCTATCAAGTTCCTCATTCCCATGGTGCATTGGCGTGCGCCATTCACTCAACTGAGTGTGTACTTCGTGTCACGTACTGTTCAGAAGTGGTCAGTAAAACTCTGGCCTCACAAAACTCACATTCTAGTGTGGCCCTTGATTTTCAAATCAGTATCCTCTCTGACTTCAGTGCCAATGTCTTCTACACTCGATTACAGATGTCTTAATAACTTTTCCTTTTGTTCTGGCAACAGAATCTTTCCTCTTCTTTTGGGAACATCCCACTTCGATTGGACAAAGGACTAGCAAACACAGGAAGTCCCTTTCTTGCCATGCATCTGATCATGAGACCCAGACTGGCCAATCAAAATGCCTTTTCCTGGACATGGTGATTGGTCTACAATTGAGCAGATGACCCAGGCGTGATCAAAAACAGTCTTAGGAACACATATAAAGTTGTAAAAGAAAATATGAAATCTTTACCTCTACTGAGCTGGCTATGCCAATATCCTTATGCACCCATGAGAATAATCAAAGGAAACAAACAAAAAAAAAAGTGAGGAGAAACAAAGTCCTGGTGTTGTCATTTGAGCTCCTGGAAACAGCCATGCCTGAAGCCACAGCAGCCCCAACACCAGGTTATATAAGTCAATTACTGCAAGTTGGTGTTGTGCTTTTGTTATGTGTAACAAGATGAATGGGGAGTGACCCTGTCATCCAACGTTGGACACTGTTGTCCCAGCCTCCCAAGGCCACTTGGGGCCCCTGAAAGCTGTGTGTGGTATTTGCAGAACACCACCATATACATGGTACATAGTTCTACCACACGCAAAGAGAGCAACCTGTCAGGCAGAAAATGACTACACAATGCAAGCAGCAAACATAAATACCTTTCCTTCAAAAACCAAATTATTAAACTAAAGAAGGTCTGCCATTTCCCATCCTTTAGTCAATAATCATTTGATTCTTGTTTATCCTGTGGGTCACCTCTTGATAGAGACAGCCTCAAGAACGATTTATAGGAAGGAAAATAAATGAAAAAAATTCTTTCTGTTGGGTTATTTTTTCCATAAGTCAAAAAAAGATTAGCTTCTGCCCAGATGATGAAAAATTTTAATGATCTTTTAGACCACAGCCTGAGAACCTTTTTTGAAAGTAAGATTAGAGATTACATTAAATTAATCAATCATAAATCACAAATGATAAATTCTGCTTTTCTCAAGTCACCTTCCCAAGCAAAACCCAGGCATTCTAATGACAGACTTTGGAGTTCTAGTCCGTGGATTATCACCCACCTCAGCCTTTCTCAAATGTGTCCTATAAAGTGTTATTCACACAGCAGTGCACCGTGTTCTGAGTGAAGTCATACTACACACTCTGTGGCCTTCTGAAGATAACCTGCATGCATCAGTGCATGAGAGGCTCTGGAGAAGAACCTGGAGACTGTCTAAACCAGAATCCCCTGACTCACTTGATCACAAAACATCTTTTTAAAAAACTCACGTCACACCTGTTAATATTCATAAAAGCACTTGTCCATGAAGTACATACTCTTCTATCACCTAAAACAGAGATCAGCAAATATTTTTGTAAAGGGCCAAATAATACATGGTTGATGCTTTGCAAGCCAGCAATCTCTGCCACAACTACTCACCCTGGCCGTGGTGGTGGGAAAGTAGACACAGATTGGATGTAAGTGAACAGGAATGGCTGCGTTGGACCTTGTCCTCGAATTAGATTAGCAACACACTCTCAAAGCATGACACCGTCCTGGGATCTTACTAGAGAACTTTATTTTCTGGCCAGGACCCATGTGCACTCCAACCAAGTCGGAGGACAAAGGCCCTAACTGAAATGAGGTCTGCATATTTAAAGGAAAAACCCACAGAAAAAATCCCTCCTCCCATTCCCCTGGGTAACTGTTTGTTGCAGATCACCTGAAACACAGTTTCTGTTTATCAGTTAGGGGTGGGGTTTTCTCCCAGGAGACAGAGTGCAGCTGGAAGTCACATATTTGCAGAATGGAGGAGAATGTTCTCAACATGGTGCTGGTTTTGCTAAGTTGGGTCTCACGGCTGTGTTCCAATAAAACTTTATTTATAAAAGAAAGTGGAAGGCTGAATTTGACTTGTGGTGCACAGTTTGTTGGTCTCTGTCTAAAGCAACAGGAGACTGGAAGTCTAGACCATGGACTTGGAATCAGCCAGTCTATGTGGATTCCCAGCGCAACACACAAAGCCACAGAGCCTGGAGCAATTGCTGACCCTCTCACAACCACTGGTCTCTAACTGGAAAGTGAAGATTATGCAAACTTTCACACATCAGTTGCATTTACATTCCTACATAACTTCTCTGAGTGGAGAGTGTGTGAATTCATGTGTGTGTGAGAATATGCATCATTCAATAAAGAGCTCAGCTCAACACCTAGTCCCACATAGATCAAAACAGGGTAGGGCCAGGGATTTAGCTCAGTGGTTCTGGAGCCTGGCTCAAAACCGCAAGGTCAGGAGTTTGATCCCCGGCATTAAACAGGGTAGAATAATGAAGCTCTTCATAAATCAAGTAGGTTGGTCCTCAACTTACAATAGGATTGTGTCTTAGTTACTTTTCTCTCATTGCTGAGACAAAATACCCAGCACCCAAATCTAAAGGAGGAAAGGTTTATTTAGCTCACAGTTTGTAGAGGTTTCAGTCCATAGTCGGCTGGCTCCAAGGCAGGGTGGCCTGGCAGAGGGGCATCGCAGAGGAGAAACAGTCCATGGCAAAGCAGGGCAGGCAGAAGACAGCCAGCAGCAATGCAGCAGCTGCAGCCAAGCAGGCCTTTATATTTCATCCACCCTACCTCCACTTTGGGCACCCACCCACATCGAGGGTGGACACCCTTAATCTCAGCATCATAGACCCTAGATCCAGCCACCTCCAAAAAAATCTTCCCTATGACTGTAGGAGGCATTGAGGGAACATCTAGATACAAGCCATAACAGGTTACCTCTGGATCAACCCATGCTGAAATTGCTGTAAGCCAAAAATGTATTCAGTACCTCCTACCCATAAACACCATGACAGCCACTCAATGCACCAAGAAGTCGTATTTGTCCTCATGTTCACAGCACTGACTGTGATAGCTGCAACTGCCCAGCACTGCATGACAGTATCATACCACACATTGCTGGTCCAGAAAGAAAGACTGAAAAATTAAAAGGGATCGAACTCCAGTCCTTGAGCTTGTGCAGCAGGCAGCAAAACCACTGAGCTAAATCCCCAGCCCTTAAGTACAGTTTTTACTGAAGGCATTATCCCTTTGGCTCAAATGTAAAATCAAAAATGCATTCAGTCAAAAACCAATATTAAGTCAGGGACTATCTATAATGCAGCAAACCCAGCATTCAGATCCACAAATGATAAATAACAACAACAACAAATTAGCCTTGTAGAAATCTGTGGAATTTAAGGGGAGGGCCCCAGACTTTCCCAGTAAACAGATCTGAGTTTGAGCTTATCTGACTCTTGAGGGACAGAGAACCCCAGTTAACTTCATATTTCCATAAACCATCTCCAGCATACAGGGTTCATACAGGGTCTGCTCTCAGTTCATCTGTAAACACACATTTCTGCTATTTAATTTTCAACCACAGCCTCTGACCGCCAAGGAGACCATCAGAAGGTTTGGATTCCTTTTTATTAGTAGAATGGAATAAAGAGCAAGCAAAACAAAGAGTTAGAGTATTAACTACAGGGTGCTTCTGCACTGTATTTTTTATGCAAATGTTTGCTGTCATAAAGTTTTCTTTGCACTCATTCCGGCAAAATTATCTTTTTATTTTGCTACACTAACTGTGTTCATATTTTCCATTTTTACTGCATCAGGGAGATAAATCTTCTTTTCCATTCATTTTATATATGTATAAAAAAATTTTTTTTGCATGCAGAGATGTCAGAGGGGAAGAAATGAGGAAATGCTCAAATCCCTCTAGAGCTCCCCTTTCGCTCCCTAGGGACCAACATTTAACATGCTTAATTTTTTTCCTTTAAAAAAATGAAAAAAAATGAACATTTCTTTGTCAGGGAGAAGCTTTTAGTCATCTTGACACCAGGCTTTCATGCAGCAAAAATATTACTAATATTATTTTCCCTCTGAAGTGCATTTGTTACCAATATGCACTTAAACCACTGATCAAGTCTTGCAGGGAGAGACACCTGCTCTGCATTTGCTATCTGCTTAATACCTTAGGGATACATCACTTAATAATTTAGTGCTAAACCATTTAGCATTTTAGCCCATCATCGCTTATATTACACACAGGATTTCAGTAATGTCTGATAAAATTATGTGTTAGCTGCCTTATGTGTGTGTAAAACTTAATAAGTCTTCTTTCCCCCTCAAGTTTAATAACTGATTTTCTTACATTTATGGATGTGAAATTTTATTGCTCATGGATATAGTTTGAACCTAAATCTTCATATCTTATAAATTGATTTTTAGTTTCCTTTTTGACCTTATGAATTTCAATCAGACATTGACCTCTTGTTGCTCATGAATCTGACTGATTTAATGCCTTCTAACAATAATAGTGCAGAAAAAGCATTATCATACGAGCCCACAGGGTTTGCAGAAACCCATAACCAGATCATGGAGGCCTCCAGCAATAATAATTCTCGACCTAAGACCACTCTCTAAGCCAGCCTCCTTTACTGTGCTGGGATGGCCCTTCCTCGTTACGGTTAACCAGCATGAATGATAGGAAAGCCTCCAGGGGAAGCCGGTTAGTTAAACCTGTTTTAAAGACACAACCTTGAACATAAACCAGCAATGGGAAAAACACAAGAAGCTAATTTTATCTCAATTTTATCATGACTGAAAAGAGAAATAATACCCTAGAGCTGTCAGGGAGGGAGGATTTTAAGGATTTTAGCTGGATAAAAAAATTAAAAATTAATATTAATTGTCTTTACCAACTGTATTGTTACTCTTCTGTCTCATATTATGACTGCTGAGTCTATAGTACAAATGGAAGAGTTGAAAGATTGCTCCTTTGTTTCCTGGCTGTGCTAATTTAATTTAATTGGTTTACTGAATAACTGGATGTTGATGTTCATTATTCCTTGTTAAGAAAGACTCTTAAACCAAAAACAAAAGCGGCTCTTTTCCCCCTTGTTCTTTCCTTTTTTGTGAACACAGGAGTCCAACTTTTCCCTGCAAAGTGAACAAAAATAGCTAGGATCTGGCTTTGCCTAAGAGATTCCCCTCCATGATTCATTCTCTTGAAAATCTAAAAACCCCCCAAAATTGCTACAACATAATGCTGGAAGTAGAATGCTGACTAACACTGAAATTATTTGGGGGAGAATAAATCTTTTCTTCTGGGAACTTAAGTAGATGCCCTACTTAACAAACTTGCTTTGCAGGTAGCTGCTATAAGAGAAAAGGAAAGAAGAGATTCAAAAATCATATTCTGAATGACCCTCACTTCAAATCCCATGCCAAGTTCAACTTTGAGATTCAAGGAATCATACACACTGTCAAGAAATTCTAAGAATTCTAGTTAACAATTCCTATCCTGAAGTGTTCCAGTGTAAACTTTACCGATGCCTACAGCTGACTTTGAAATGTGTCCCAATACCATCAAATGGAATGTGGGTGAGCAGAGAGTTGAAAGGGTACATGGTCAAGTATGTGTAGCTAAACATTCACTGTAGAATCTAGGTGATTAGTACAAGGGCAGTCACGTGTTTTTTTTAACTTGCCTATAGATTTGAAATTTTTCATAGTTAAAACTTTGAAAGTCATATGCTCAACTTATTTATTACGAGGAAGTAATTACTCAAAGAAAGAGTGAGGGAATATGATTGGCCAGCACTGAGGGCAAGGAGGCAGGGAACTGTTGTTATTGAAAGCCCAACAGAGACACATGGAGAACTGAGGGACTATTCAGACATGGCAGGAATCTGATGTGACCAGAGGAGCAGAAGAGAGGCTGGGCAGATGAAGCAATAGTCCACCACAATTCCGAGCAAAAGCACAGAAAGGAGGAAGCCATGCTCTGAGTGTCATGGAAAATGGGAATCCATCTACATACGTGAAGCCAAAGAGCAACATGAAGATTTACTCAAAGGAGTACAGTATGTGAGGCTTTAGAACAAACAAAATGAATCTAGGAGGGAAAAAATCAGAAAAATGGTTGCCTCTGGGGAAGTGGTGCAGGTTTGACTGGAAAAAACATTTCTGGGATAATGATAGTGTTCTAAATTTTAATAGGAGTTTGAGCTACACAGATGTGCCCAGTTGTCAAACCACATCAAGTATACACTTAAGATTTGTGTACTGATTATAGGTAAATTTTATAGCAAAGAAAAAGTTACAAATAAACAATGAACCCTAGCTAATGATATAAATGTTAAAGCAGTTAGGCAGAAATATACTGGTGGCAACTTTCTTTAAAATGAGTCAGAAACATCAGACGGACTAGTGGATGAAAAGATAAAAACAAAGTGTAGTATGTTTGCAATGGAATCTAAAGGTAAATTTACAATTTTTCACTGAAATTTCTTTCTGCTTTGCTATGCACTTAAATTTTTCACAATAAAGTACTCAGATAAAATAAGAAAAATTTAAAGTGTAAGTCATATGGTTTTAATTTTCATCTTTTGAACTTGAATGCACCTCATGAAACATGAATTTTGCAACAACTCAACTATCCGGAGTCTATCTGCCTAACTAAGACATAAAATGAACTCCTAGTGAATAGACTGAATTTGGAGCCAGCTAGATGTGGCTTTGTCCAGCCACCCATCAATTCTGGAGCAATGATTTGTGCCAAGCATTGTGGTAAAAGTCAGGGATACAATGGAAAGCA